ACACAAATGAGATCCCCAGACAGCAGGACTGCAAAAAGCCCAAACAAGCAGCATAACAATTACACTCTAAACTTAGCAAAGGAAAGAAAATGTCACCCAACTCCCCAGCAATATTTCTTTAAAAAACATACCAAAAAAGCTGACCTCCTCCCAGTACCCTTGCAGGGCTATGGAAGTAGATCAGCTCTGCCCTGTCACAAGTTGGACATGATTTCCACCCTGGGAGGTGGCATAATTGCCTGCACATCCCAGCAGACAACTGCTAGTGTGCCCAGTGGGGATGCTGCCTCCCAGCACACTCCCAGGAAGCTGGTTTGCTTATGTTATCTACATGGAAACCCAAAGAGGGAGAGGAGTTGCTGCCTTGGGTGAAATGCAGCTTCTCGCCACCTTGAGCTCCCCATGGCCATCGCATGGTGCACCCAGGGCTCCTTCCCCCCAGCACCTGAAGCATCCTCACCCCAAGGTAAGTAACTCCACACATCTCTGCTCCTTACCTAGGACACCACAACACTGCCATGTGATGACAGACCCCCACCTCATCGCTTGCCCTGCCCCAGACCACCTGCAGCTCAAACTCCACATCTCCTCTGGGCCAGGGCCCTCACAAGCCCGTTGCTTAGAGTTGTTTCCCTTTGTAACCAATGAGGATGTGAACAAGATCCTCTGATCCTACTTGATTGAGGGTTCACACTTGAAAATGAATGTATTCTGGCAGGAGCTGTTCTCCAGGGAAGTGAGATAGAGTCACTCAGCAATGAGTTGCTATGGATGGTCATTCAAGCATAATAAATCCTCCTTATCAACCCTGTCTTGCTACCCCTTGTAATTTAAACTGGGTGTAATAAGGCAGGATGAAGGCAACGGCTAGCTTTACAGTCAAACTGGGGATTACAGTCTGGCACAGATATTTTAAGATTCACAATAACAAAGAGAAATTGTAAGAGGAGCCTAACCACCTTCCCTCAAACGCCAGGGGATGTGCTGATGAGTTACGGTCATTTCCACAACTGGGCTGGGCTGATGTATAGCTGAGCTGGGGTCAGACTGGAGACTTACTACTCCCAGACTTCTTGAGCAAGTGTAAAACTTGCATGTGCTGAAAAAAACCTGTGCATTGACTTTAGAGAAGGTTTTTGTCTGTATTGCATGCATTTTTATATATATTTTTTTAAATCCATATCACTGCATGCTTTTCTTGCCTTCTCTGAATAAACTCAGCAATACTATTTTGTCTCTTTTACTCCCCCATTTTTCACAAAAGCCTAAGAAGTACCTTTCTCTCTATAAGCTACTTGCCACTCTGTATAGCAGCTAGGACCTTTTGCTTTCTGATTGCCTCCTTAATGAAACTAGCCCAGAGCAGCCCTACCCAGGCCTAAACCTGAAGTTTACAGTACCACATCTGAAGAAGAGTTTGAAAGCTTGGCTTCTTTTCCCCAGCTGTGCTATCTGAGTAATAAAAAATGTTGATTTTTCCTACCAGCCTTGCCTGATTTACGTCCTTAGACTATCATGGCCGCAATACTGCTTCTGCTGAAACCACTGCTGCCAATTCCTAGATTGCCATTTACCAGGGATCTCAAAGGGCTTTTATAAAATGCCTAATGCTCAGCTAGCCCTTACACCTCTCTCCTTCTGAAGAAAATCATGTGGTGCTGTGTTTTGGGGACATTTTCTTTCTGCTGGGCGTCCATGGGGATGGAGGTGGTGCAGCCCTGTTCAGTGCATGGTCCCTGCTGTCCCTGGGCCTGCTGATTCCTCTGTCCCACCCCAGTGCCCGACGGCCGTGTCTTCCACACCCCCCACTGCAAAACACCCATTGTAGCCCCAGGGTGGGATGTAGGGGGAGACCTGAATCCCGCCTGCAGAACTTCTCCCCTGGAGCACGGACCACAGCAGTACATGGGGTAGACACCTGCTTTGTTGGTGAGACTGCAGGATTGTCCAAGAGTGAGACCCAAGGAGCCCCACAGCTCCCACACTGGAGGTGTCTCCCCTGCCCTGGGTTCAGAGCAGGGCTGGAGCAGGCTCCTTCTGCTTCCCCTGACCAGGAGGCTCAAGGAGACATTCCCTGAGGTGGGGTGAAGGAACTTTGCTGTGGCTGACACCCACACCCACTGCTCCAGGCACATCGCCCCATCCCCTCCACAGCCCATCACTTGCTGCCTGCTTAGGGGAGGGGGACAAAAGGACATCTTCATCCCCATGAAGGACACTGAGGATCTGTGAAAGGAGCTGAGCGCATCCATGCTGGGAAGCAGCCTCATTTGCTGCTCTGGCTGCTGTTAACACATCATCTATCCACTGAGCGTGAAAAGGGAAGCTGGTGGGGGCAGGAGGAAAGTCACAGCCACTTTCTCCCACGTCCGATTGCAGTGAGCGTGTGCTTGTGGTGGTGAAGCCTGGGATCCTCCGCGAGGCCCCTGCAGCCTGCGGCTTGCCAACACATGAAAACATAAGGGAGAATGAATCCCAGCAAACCACAGATCTGCCAAACGAGGGTGTTCTCTGTGGAGTAGGGTGACCGCAAAGTCTCAAACCATGTTCCTGCTGACAAGCTGCGGATGGACGAGTTTAGTCAGGAAGAATTTTTTCTTTCTTTGCAAAGAAAGCACTGTTTGCTTACAAGGCAGCCAGCATGGCAATGGTCCTTGGAAGAGACTCATGAACCAGGGTCACACAGCATTAGACCTACTCATCTGACACAGTGGAGAAACCAGAGAAGAGAGTTTGTTCTGCAGAGGGAGCCCTACCTTGATGCTGGGGTTTCTGATCATACCACCCAAATGCGTGAAGGCGGCTGAGCAGGGCTGGCTTTGGGGTGCCCACCCCACCTCATGAGGAGGCAGTTTGCAGAAGAGGTTTCTGGAACAGCCCCCTCAAAGGCAGGAGATGACCCCTGCACCCCAGGGGACCCTTCCCTCATGGGGCTGTGGGCCTGAGCTGTCCTCGCCAGCCACATTACAGCCTGGCATAGGGGACACATTTATCTGCTCCCCAACATCTGGTACCTCAGGAGCCACACATCAACGGTTCCCCTCCCCAAGCACTGCTATAGTATAAGCACCTAATAATAAAACCCAGCTATTGTGTTCCTAAGACACCTGTCAGCCTGAGTACTAAGTGCTGGGTTAATAAATACTTGCTCAGCTATGCCTCTTCTCTGCCAATTCTCCTGGCTCTGCCTGTTTTCATTAGTATTTCTTTTCTGTGGACACTGCAATTACACTCTGTTCCTCTTCAGAGCCCTTGTTCCAGGTTCAAATAGAGAAGTGATAATGCAGGGAAGCTTTTCACATCGCTGTTTATTTTTGTCTTCTGAGTCAGGAAGATCTTTTCAGGCTGGGACCAACCCTGTTCGGTTTTGATTTGAGGAAGGACTTGGGCGGGGGTGGGGGTGGGGAAAGGGGTGAAAACTTCAGGTTCCAGCTTTTATAGTTTAAACCAGTGGGGGGGTCCTTTCTTTCTGGCTTTTGCCGAGGTCACAAGCTATGCTCCCTCGTTGGGAAGACATAAGCATGCAGTCTGTATTGCTAAGACCCATGGTAAACTATCCATCTGCCACAGCATCTGCGAGCTCCGGCACTCCCAAGCCTCTTCTGTCATTCGAATCTCTGAGCAAGAAGGAGGATTCAGCTGAACGCAGCAAATTCAAAGGCGTAACTTTTTTGTTCAAGGTTGCAATATGTTTGGAGATATTGTCCTGCCAGCAAGTCCCGGGTGCAGCATCCAGATGGTGCTCAGGGAATCCGGAGAAGGGGGGAGGTTTCATTCCTTCTTCAGGCGTGGAAAACAACTGACGATGTCACCGGAGTTATTTGCTTCTCCTGCTATTTCCCAGTGGTCAACTGAGAGGGAAAAAAGTCCTCATTGAATATGTGGGATTTGACTAAATCATCTAAAACATAGCCAAAATTGCAGAAGAAAAAATCACAGGGGAACATAGGATGTTTCAAACTCAGTGCATTAGGAAGAACTTCAGCATTTCTTGCAGGTGATTTTTCTTCTGGTTTTGCATTTGAAGAGATTTACTTCATTTCAGATCTAGTAAGAAAAATCCTTCTATTAGTTGCTAAATATAACTTTTCATGCATCCAGGGAGATGCAATGAAGTGTCCTAATAAGCCCTTACACCTTGAACTTCCTTTCCAGCAGCCCACACAGTCACCTGGACACATGTCACATTGACTGAGTGGCACGGCATGGCCAGCTATTTGCTATTAGATCTCCAAATTGAGGGTGGCTACAACCAAAACTTGCTGCAGCAAAGGTCTCTGTACCATGGTAAATCCCAAGTCATGCCTGGAAGCTGTTTGGGTGGGCCAAAGTGACAGTGGAGGTCATTGCTGAATAACACAGCAGGGAGGGTTGAACTGCCCACAACCTTTCCTTGGCACACGTTTGGTTTACCACATGGCCAAAGATACTTGGGGTAAGGGCCTCCATGCCCACCAGGGTCTCTTTAAGGCATGACTCAGCTGAAGTGTATGTAGTGGGTTGGATAAACCAGTGCCTTGGCCAAGGCCTCTTCTGGTTTTCCCTAGAGCAGCAGAAAGCTCAGTTCATGTTGTACATAGAGAAATGCCAAAAAGCTCTACTGGAAAAGCAAAGTCTAATCATGGGTCACACACTGAGGGGAAAGGGCACACCTCAGGGCCTCCTTCTTGCCCACCCATCACACTACCACCATCCCATCTTTCCAAACTCCCCAGTCCATCTGCCTTGAATGTACCTTGTGCCCTTCACTCCCCTGACACTGGAAGGAAAAGCATTTTAAACACAACACAATGGGAACAGTGGGATATTTTCAAGCTCTTATTCTCCCCTGGAATATTTATTTTTTCATGGGTAGCTTGTCTGTTCACCACTGCAACAAACTCCTCAGATGAGCAGGTAGCCTCAAACCCAGAGGACTGGCTCCTGGGGCTCCCCATCCCTTTGTATGTCAACATCATTTAGTTTTGAGAAGCAGACCATGGAAAAAACAATGACACAGATTTTTTAAAATATGAATTTTTATTTGTTTTGATTGGAGTTCGAGAGAGTGGGTAGAGTGGAAAAGCAGAGTGATTTAAATCAGTGAAGAGGTCTAGTCCCGCCTTGTGTGTTAGATCACGAGGTTAGTAGGTGGTCAGAAGAGTCCTCCTCCTCCACTCAGCTTGCTAATCTTATTCACGTAGTTCTTGTTTCTGATGTTTTCTAATCTCTCTTCAGAACTTCACTGTAATTTTTGAGACATTTTTCTGTTGCTTTAACTTATTGAAAAAGCTAAAAGCTGAAAAAAATTGCAGGACTCAAAATCCTGCCAATTAGAATGGGCAAATTTTTTTTTTTTCCGGCAAAGGTTGAAAAATACGATTCAAAAATACAAACAGGCATTGAACATTGCACCAAAAAGCATTTGAAACACAAATCTCAGAAAGAAAGAGAGAGAAATAGAGAGAAGAAAGGTCACAGTTTCCGTGAGAAATCCCTTAAGAAAGTGGCTACCAGCTAGTCAAGAGAGAAAAGAAAGTCAACAAAAAATTTTTTAAAAAAGCTTTTTTTCCTAGTTGTTAATTATTTACAGCTGTAATAACAGGATTGTCATGCATTAAACTGCTGCTGGCTAGATTCTTTCTTATAGTGGAGTAAAGAGAGTCTCACAAGATGGAAAACAAAGCAGAAGACATACCGGGGCACAGACTGAACCTGAGGCAGTGAAAATAAGCGTATTCTCTGGCGACTTGTGGTGTGCTCTTCCCCATGATGGGCTGCCCTAGCCTGATGCTAATGCCACTTTCTCCACCCTGGGCACCAGTGCTACAGTGAAAGAAGCAGCAGGTGCCCTCACCTTCAGATAGGACTTTTGCCTGTGGCTATCCCCAAGTCAGTCGACAGTGAAAATCTAGTTCATGAAGGGATACTTGTGGTCACCTGACTAGATTTGGTGGGCTGAGAAACTCCCTTGTGACAACCGAGATGAGCCCTTCAACTCTAAATACAGCCTGGAAAAGGCAATGTAGCAATGACTCAGGTTTCCCAACTCTGCCCCTACTTTTTTGTCGTTGCAAGAATGGAATCGTTCAATGTATGACTGTCGTTATGGTTGCTGGGTGCCCTGCAAAAGGACAGGAGGAATCAACAGACTTTCCAGGGGAAACACAGTGCCGACAGCAGTGTAACATGAGCCAATGGACTTATCAAGTTGGCAGGACTTTCAAGCAGTGGTGAAGCAAAGAACCAAGAGCCTTTGAAGAGTGTGGGAGCATCCTGGCTCATGTAGCAAACCTGAGACCAGGCCTCCCTCCCTAGGCAGATGGGATCATTAAAGCTGTGTACAGAGAGATCTGCACTGGTGGGCACTGGGGACAGTGCAGAATAGGAAGGAGTGGCTAGAAGATTGTATTTTGTCCTAGAGCTTCACGAGCCTGTGGTGAAGGATGACAGGCCTAATGTTAGGACTAATCCAAGCCTAAGACTCTCTGCTATTTAACGAAGCACAGATTCCTGTGGTGGGAGGCAGGCATAGACCTAGAAAGAGAACCAGCTTTGCTTATGGGAGGTGCCATCCTTCATTCTCATAGCTGGGACACCACAAGACACTGATCAGCAATTGCCGCTGACTGCGAGAACCCTTCTCCAGCAGCAGAGGAGGGAAGATAGGAGCTACGAGTGCAGTTGCAGGATCGGTGCCTAAATGGTTCTCCTAAGACAGGGGGAGATGAAGGGGAGGGCAGGGGAGGGGCGGGGAGGGGAAGGAGCTGATGCTGGGTACCATTGCTAGGGGCAGCACACTGCTCACTTACCACGGCCTCACTGCTCATGGGCTGGCCAGTATCTGTCTTTGGTCCTGCTTGTGCTGAGGTGAGATAAGGTGTGATAAGGCCTATGCTTTTGCTGACGCCTCCCACCATTAGCACGACCCACCTGGATGAGCAGCCAGCACTGACCAACTGCCAGCACCTCCCTTTGCTTTGCAGAACAGCCCAGGCTGAAGTACAGCCCCTCCCTGCGGCGTTCCCCTGGCTAGGGAAAGCTGGAATGGATCCCATCAGGTTTGGTGCTCCCTCCTGAAGCAGGTAGATACCTCACACCCCTTTACAACGCTCAGCTACACATTCCCTGGTTTTGCTCTGGCATAAGGACTAACTGCTTATGGCATACAGCTGTTGAAAAGCCATGATGCCCTCCTGGGAACATCCCGGTGTGTTGGAGAAGTTGTGACATCTGGGACTAAGTTCTCCTGAAAGGTGCTAAACAGCACTGCCAGCAGTGTCCTTGGTCCAGGCAGCAAGCCTGCACTGAGACCCCAGCATGGAGAGAGGCTCACTTTGCTCCCTGTTCCTCCCAAAGCCATCTGAAGACTAGCAGAGAGGGACGCACCTCCTTCCAGAAGATTTACCAAAGAGAATGAGGGGGAAGTAAAATAATTGAAAATGGCCATTTTCTCTTTCAAAGAGAGAGAGGTTTGATTTTTAGCTATAAAGAGTTTGTGAGCATAAAGATACACACACACATGCATATATATAGATATAGATATAGATATATGTAAAAACCTTTGGCTGACTGAACAATAACAAGGTCAAAAAGTAAATATTTATACCTGGAAGCCATCAATTTCATTTGTATTGTGGCCTCTTGCCAAAAATGCCTTCAGGAGTAGTTCAGCTTGATATGGAAAGAGGATTGATGAATTGTTCAGGGGGCTTTCTCTCTACTTTGACATTAATAGAGCGTTTATGTTTTTATGAATGTGCCCCTCACCCTGGCTGAGCTCTCCCCACCCCCAACAGCCACCAAGGAGTCAGGGAAATGTTGCTTCTCTCGGTTCTGCAAAATCCACACATTTATTTAATTGGGTAGGTTATAGTGGCCCCAGACAAACATAAAATTTGGGGAAGAGGGCCTGGAATGAGGGCTGGCCTGATGCTGCCTGCTGTGATGGTGCAGTCCCACGGCCCCACGCTGGCTCTCCGCCACCCCCAGGTCCAAGCATGTGGAAGTGGGGGGGCACTAGCATGTCCCTGCCAAACCGTTCCCTAAGTGAGCCCATTGAGAGCTGCCTGGTCCTCTCCTACTCATGGCATGCCCTGTCAAGCTGGGAGAGCACAGTACCTGTCCTCAGTAGCCACTTGCCTTTGACCATGATCCTTCCTTTAACAGCAGCGTGTGTTTAACTGCTCTGTTCCTCCAACAGCTGTAAAGAATACTGCAAGGAGGCTGTTACTGCAGCACCCTCCGGGGGGGCAACTGCTCCAGGTTTCTAAAGGTCTCAGAGAGTAGAACAGAGGGTCTTCCTATGTGAGGTGATTTGGAGCAAGAGAAACCCCTTCCTCGTATGTGATGCAGCCCTATAACCCTCACCAAGGGATGGCTGAAAGAAATACAAGATATGGACAGAAGAAATCAAGGCAGCGGAAAAGAAATGACCGCACTTGCACCTGTCCATAGGATAGGCTTGCAGAAAAAAGGTTGGTCCTGACCTTGTGTGCATGCATGGCTTGTGTCTGGGAACAGCAAGCATAGGGTCTGCTTGCACAAGGGGTGTCCTACAGCAAACAAAGTAGGACCCGGTGTCACTGTGATGGCGAGGATTAGGATGGGGGTGAGCTGTGCTGGCCACAGCACTTGTCTGTAAAACCCAGGGAGTGGCACAGCCAGCTTTGCTTATGTTGAGCTCTGTGCACAGAGGAGAGATGGGAAGCTCTGCCTCGGGTGTCACAGTCCTGCTCAGTGACGTTCCAGAAGCTTTTGAGACGTTGTGTGGGGGTGACTCCATCAGCCCTTTAGAAGAACGGGTGGGACTGAGGGACCTCTTCTGCCCCATCCCTCTCCTATTCCCCCGCAGAAATGTCACAGCACTAACATGGCACTGGCAGCCACCACATGCTGCCTGCCGTGCTTGCTTGGAGGACCTCAGCCGAACCATCCTCTGCCTCCCCGGGGCGCAGAGCTCCTGAAAGCCGCACTGCTTTGGCCCATGTGCGGTTTCAGAGGAGGGAAGAGGCAAGCTGCCAGCACCAAAATGTCCCTCTGACATTTTCAGAAGGAATGCAACTGCAGGCTTGGACTGCGCTGTGTGTGTCCCAGGTGGTGCAAGCTACAAAACAGGAGTGCAGACTGAACAGATCATTTTTATCACCCTCAAATTTCTTCCTGGGAGACTCTCATAAAGGCAGGGAGGCTTTGGACCTTGCCAGAAAAAAAGAATATTAGAGTATTGAGGCTCACAGTGAAATGAAGTGCCCACTCTGTGCACAAGTGTGGATTAGACTATCAATAGCCACGTACAGATCTATTCCTATACAGGACCAACTATAAAAATGGAGCCCTTAGATGCTATCACAGCAAGCAGTAAACCCCAGTAATTGATGCTAGGTTAACTCTGGCCCAGCGTGCCCTTAGAAGAAGCCCCTATCAGCAACCTCGGGTTAGCTGGGAAGAAAACGTCCCAATTTGAGCTGCTGACAGATTTAAAAAAAAAAAGAACATTATCTTCTCTGTGATGTCTGCTGGCAGGAGATGTTAAACCACTTATTTATAACTATCTTCCCGAAATGCTTCCCTGCTTGGAAGCCAAACTACAAATTCTGTTTGGTTTGTTGTCTTTAACCAAAGGATGCCGGTATTTCTGCTTCCAGCTGGCAAAAAGACTTGGAGCGAGTGCCAGGCTTTGGTGGGAATAGACTTGGCTTTCAAGGCGTGCTAACACAGATCCAGGAAGGCAGCCTTTTATCAGGCAGAGAGCAAAGTTTTTTGAGCCAGGAAGAGCAAAGATGAGCCAGCAGATGGGCGTCACCAGCAATCCAGATTGGTGGGCTGTGTCCTAGGGAGGGGCAAGAGTCTCAGTGTCGAAGGGAGGGAAGAACTAGGGGAAGAAACAGGCAGGAGATTCACCTTGACAGGTAACTGAGCCAGATCGGATCACCTGCAGGAAGGGAGGAGGCTCAGATGATGCCCCAATGCTATGCCCGGCACCACAGAGAGGTCCAGCCCTGGCACTTTGAGCATCACCTTGCCCCAGTGAGCCTGGGTGGCTCTAGGGGGGCAGCAAAGGCAGCATCTGCAGGTGCTCGGGCTGCTGAGAAGCCGATGGTAAGACCTGAAAATTTATGGAAAGTTCTATGGAGCAGGCACCAACAGACACAGGAACATGTAGCAAGGTGATGCGCGACAGGAGCTGGCCCTTGGGGTAGAGATTTTGGGGAATGCTCAGGCAAGCAGAGGAGACCACCTCTGCACCAGGGCTAGCTCAAGTCACTGGATCCAGTATTTAAGCTTGCCTTTAATGTGATTCTGCTAGTAAACACAATATACTCTTTGTTACAATTTTATTGTGTTTGTTTTGCTTTTTATAGGGTTTCTATTCCATTCACTTTGGCCTGAGTATTATAGTGACATGAATGTTTTATAAGATACACTTCATATAGCTTGTTTAAGAAAATGACATCCATGTAGTTTCCAAAACAAATAGCGTCACGGCCAGTTAGTGTAGCACTCCCCGACAGAAAGCCCAGGGAGCAGGAGGGCGGCAGCAGTGGCACTGGCTCCTGGAGGGGATGCTGCTGGCATGGAGGGAGCGCAGGGTGCCTCGGTGGCCAAGGGGCAGGGGGCTGCGGCAGGGCAGTGCTGGGGTGGCCGGGCTGTCAGGGCCGGAGGGCTGCAGCAGAACCAGGAGGTCAGTGCCAGGAGGAACAAGGTGCCCCAGGTGCAAAAGCAGCTGGGATGCCCCCCCTGCCCAGAGGAAGGGCTGGAGACAGCGCACTCTCCCTCTGCTCCTCCAACCCAACGCTGGGTGGGCTTTCCCTTCCTTGTTACCCAGCGGGGAGCCCTCGGGGATGAAAGGCACTGTAGAAATATCATGCGCAGTTTGGGGTGCAGATGCTGTGGGGGAGGATGGGGAGCGAGCTGGTTTCCTCAGCATCGCCCCACAGGGGGGGAAGTTGTCATCTCTTGCCAGATGCTGCCTGCTGGTGCGGATGCAGTCCTGGACTGAATGCACCAGGGACTGAGCTAAATGTCTCCTTGCCCCTCTCCTCGCCACAGCTATAGGCAGGGGGAAGGACTGCACTGCTGTTGAGCCAGCAAGATTGGTAAGGGATGGGCAGGACATGCACAAATGCCACTCACGCTGAAGGACAAAGTGTCCTGGCCTTCCCCGCTCTGTCCTGCCATCCCCATGGATATTCCAGGTGGGACAAATCCTGTGCCTTGTGCTCAGCCCCGCTTCTGTGCAGGCAGGGGTAAACTGAGCTTGGCACAGTGGCTCGAAGCAATGCTGAAGACATCATCTTGGGGGTGCTGGGGCCTTGGCCTGGCTGCGTGCACCTGAAACATGCATGGGGGCAGCTCAGGGGGGGCAGCCAGATGGTCGGAGGGAGGCCCAGCAAAGAGGGGCTGCATTGTACCCTGGGAGCAGGGCCAATGGCAGGATCAGTGCTGGGGACAAGAACTCACCAGGCACTGGATGTCCTTCCTTGTAGCAGGACAGTGTGTCCATGGCTCCAGGCACCAGGGAAAGGGGACAGATGGCTTGAACGCCACCATCTTTTCGGTTCTTGACTGTGGTGGCTGGGAAGGGAGAAAAAACCCTCTTTCCAAGGCACTGGAGAGCCTTCCTGGGAAGAGTGTGCAGGTGTTAAGAGTTGGGTCTTAGATCTCAGTGGCTTTGTGGGATGGCAGCTGGCTCTCATGGCTCTCTGGGACAGAAGTATCACCCTGCTGTTTCAAAGATCCCCTTCTGTTGTCCCATAGTGCTGAGGATGCTCAGCTGCATCTGTTCCCCAGGGACAGGGAGGTACCTGGGGACTGACTGTCTCCTGACCCACTGGTGTGTCCCACAGGAGACAGTCTGCACCTGAGCTGGCCTGGATCAACATTGCTGCTGCTCCATGAGCTGGAATTCCCTGGGCTGTGCTCCTCCTAGTCAGCGTGGCTTACCCAAGAGGTAGGGGATTCTCTTCCTAAATTTACCCATGAACGACAAGATAGGACTGAGGGGTGCTGAATAGCCAAAGGAAGATGAATGGGGATCTGGAAGAAGGGACTCGGGCAGAGGAGGTGCCAAGAAGGATAAGTGGATGGGGCCAAGACAAAGTGGTAAACCACCCATCTGAACACAAACTCTATGGCTTCCAGTCCTGATGCTGAATGCACGTGGCTTCACAACTTCTATCTCCTCCAAGACATTATAAAGCTCCTGTCTTGACTTCCTGACTGGCCCTGAGAAGAATTATTTCTCTGGTTGGAACCATCCCACCCTCTAAAATGAGTTGCCCCAAGAGTGCAGGATGGCAGATGGACAAGACTTTTCTTGCCTGTTCTTGTCTGGGGAGAGACATGGAGGGAACCAGCAGCTGGATTTGATGAAGACAGAGAGGAAGAAGCCCTGTAGATACCTATAAGATGCTGCCACCCTGTTCCAGCCCTGCAGTGGTTCCATGGACCATGGCAGTGGTGGGTTTGCCCTCAGCAGGCACTGGGCTATGAGCTGGCCCATGCCACGCTGCTCCCTCAATGGACCAGCTCGCCCTGCATCCACAGCCACTGAGCACAGAGCATCAGGCACTGAAGGGCAGGCTGGCTGGCTGACTGACTCTGGAGGCCTCCCCATCCTTGAGCCCAGGCCACCAGGAGCACCCACCATGCTAGGGCAGTCCACTGCAGAAGAGGAAGAGGGGGGTGGACCACAGCAGCAGCCCCCAGCAGGGTGGACAGTGGAATGGCAGTGGCATGCAGACCATGGAAACAGCAGGAGGTGGAGGAGGTGAGATGGAAGCACGGGGTGACTTGGACAAATGGGGGACATTAGACTCACAATGTTAGAGGCACAACTTGTTATGATCCTTTTTTTTTCCCCCCTTTCACCATCAGAGACAAAGTAAAGTGAAACTGAAGTACACAGGATTAAATTAAAATCAGTTTTGTTTACATTATAAAAGAATGATCTAATAGTAATAATAATAATAATAATAATAATATCAAATGAACAATAATAATTAAAGAAAAAGGGAAAGAAGAAAGCCCTGGAGAATTCCTGCCTGGATGGTGCTCACTGATGGAAGGTTTGTGTGACCGGTTTTATTGTTTGGGGATCATTCCCTTGATAGCTGACTCCCGGTTTACATATGTGGCCCAGTAGACTAAGTTGAAAATGGCAAAGAGGACTGGAAAGACGATGCGGGACATCTTGTCTACCTTGCTGACACTGTTGTATGTCTTCTTACTATCTGGGAGCTTCTCCTCTATGCGGGTCATCTTGGGGGGTACGTTGGTGGCAGTAGCAGTGGCAGCAGCACTCTTGGAGATGGTGGGCAGGCCGGGGTCCTTGGCAATGTTGAGAGCATATGTGGTGCCAACGATGTTGTAGGTATTGTTGGTTTTCTTCGCTAATGCCACTGGCTCTTTTTTCTAGGGAAGGTGGAAGAAAAAAACAATATAGAGATGAAGTGACCATAGAATTGCATGGAGAACATTTTGTCCTCTGAGTTTACCTGCTTGCCTGGATGAGAAGATGGAAAAGGGTGCGAGGAGCAAGAGACCAAGAAGGCGGCATTGTGGCAGGGAAGGGAGATGTGGTGAGAAGAACCCATGACATCTGCCACTCGAGGGCTGCTGGAGCATAAGGACATGCTGGGCTGGGGTGGACCAGCCTCTCCAGGTAAGCCTGGCATGTAGCATGTAGCACAAAGAAGTCCTGGCCTGGCAGCTAGGTCCTGCTGCAAGTCAAAGAACTGAAGCCACACAGCTGGGTTTGTAGCCTCCTTGCAGCCCCTTAGATCAGAGTAGTGGTATAAAAAGATGTGTGCAGCTGCACTTGAGCAGTAGCTGCCCCAGATGGGCAACTCCTTGGTTGCCTGAGTGCTGTCGGGTCTATGCTGCGTGTTGCCAGGTCAGTGTAAGTGAATGCAGGCTCAAACTGCACAGACTCCTTGTTCTATCTCTCAACTGGACTGTGTTTTCTGTTGCATGTAAGGTTCAGCCATGGAGAGACAATGCAGGAATGTAGTCTTTAGAAAAGAATGACATCCTTTGTGGTCATCCTGGGGGACAAACTTGATTTTCTGCTTCCTGGGTCAGGGGAGAGGAGGAGACATCACAGAGGATTATAGTTTTTTTTTTGTAGCAGAAAGCCAGTGGCTTTAAGGATGTGGGTGAGAGCATTGCAATATTTTTTTGCCATATCACGCACTTCCTCAGTGCCCTGAATACCTCACAATCTACCATCATGATGTACAAAATGGGACCCTTTAGAACACCTCATGGCCTACTCAGGTAAGCTACAGAACGGATTGAAGGCATTTGCACTAACCCTGCATTTCAGGATTGCTCAACACAGCACTATAGGGCAGAGGTAAGCCTTTTATCTTGCCTTCATATCTAAGGGTTGCTGCAAATCAAAGGAGATAAGTGCACCCCTCCCACAAGGCTCCAGGGACAGCCATGCTGCCCATGCTGAAGGGAAGAGAGCTTGCATAGCGAACGGCAAAAGAGGCACTTACGTGTCAGACATGATGTACTGAAGGACGATGGAAGATGATGAAGAGAGACAGTTCAGATGTTAATGGTCATGAGCAGACAGGAAAACAGAGCTAGGAAGTGATGACAGGTGTTGCCCCCACTCTGGGGATCTTCCTGCTGCTGTCAGGGACCTGAGACCAGCTGCACCATATGGTATAAAGCAATCCAGGTCTACCAGGAGAAGCCCACTGAATGAAATCTATTCACGTGCAGACATCAGGCACTCTACACGTCCCAGCACTCGCATTCCATGCAGTGTCCACTGTAATTACACCAAGAGCTAGCATTAGACACAGTAATGACTCATGGTGGGAATCTAGTATCTAAACTCAGAACAAGGTGTGCCTTCGGATTTCCTTTTCTATTAAAAAGCAACCAAAACACAAGGTAAGGCTCATCCAGGCATTTCTCAGGGGTGCTTGGCACAGTCTTGAATGTATGTGTGAGGGAACCATGTATAAAGTGATCATCAGGAGAAGGGGCAAGTGTACAGCCAGCGGGTCCTGTTCATCTCCCCACCCAAGCCTGGGAATTGGTAACAGCCAGCTGGGTAGCACTGGGAGTTAGAAAGGCCAGATTTGCCCAGTCTGCTCTGCAGAGCTATTCCAAAGGCTTTAGCTTTCATGCTATACTCCCATTTTAAATGTTTCTACAAACACTACGGATATTTCTGGTTACCTTAGGAAATGAATTTTCCACAGTGATTTTCAGAGGGACACTAAAAGCATACTTCTGTGCAATCTTGAAACTCCTCTCCAGTAACATCATAGCCAGGCCTGCAGTCTCATAATAATGCCATCAATTACAGAAATTAACTTGCTGTTAGAAGGAGGTCTAAAAGTCTTCAGACTCCAGATCAGGCTAAACCACTGATCAGATCATACTCATAGTCTTTTATGGGAGAGGGTGTTATGATCTTTAACAATTAACTGAGCGACTGATTTCTTCAATCATTAGAGCCATGTTAACTTGTATCCCCAGCACAGCAGGTGAACTTTTCCTGCTAAAGAGCTGACAAGAAGCAAATAAAGGACTAAAGATGTTTCACCTTCTAAAGCATTTAAATATGCTTAAGTATGATTACTTACTAACACAGCTACGGGAGGTAATAAAATAATTAATAATCAGTAATGAAATGAAAACCAGATTGTCGTTCACAGAATGTAATTTGAAGTGCCCTGTGATTATTTTAGTATTAATCAGCCACATTATTTGTTACAGGAATAAGATGACTCCAAGTGGCATGACATTTTTAACCTGGCTAGCTTTTCTGCCCCAGAGTTTGGAAAGTGGATCTGTCTTGCCTGGCCAAACGCCTCTGAAAATAGCAGGCTGAAATTGAGTAAATTCAGGCAAGTATGAATGCTGTGGGTGGTGGGAGCAAGCTACTGCTCTTATTAGTGTGATCCAGAGCCCTCAAGCATCAGCTAGGGCTTCTCTGGCGCTCAGACCAGGCTGTTCAGGCAATGCAGAGGCTTATGCCCTCTACGTGCTCTGCTCCCAAGATGTCAGAAAAAATGGTTCAGCCTGAAGTTTACTGGGCTGTGCTTTACAAATAAGTGTTTCAAGCAAGATTTTGACAATCAAACAAAACAAAATGTGCTTATTGCTGTCAGCTGCAGAGTAGCTTTCTGCCTTCCTCCTACTCTGTGAGTAGTTCCATGTCCTACTGAAACAGAAGGAAAGAGTGGAAAAACAGGAGGAAACCCCCAACATTTGCTTTGAAATCTTGTCCTATTTAGAATGTCTACGTTGCAAAGAAATTCCTGCATTTATGGCCCAGTTTGGGCACAGAGAGATTGAACCACTGCACAAAGCTGTCCCTGTGCTGCTCTCCTGAGGGAAAAACTGTGAAAGCTGGTCTAGAGATACATATGTTCCCTGGATATTGCAGTCTGACAAGTTCTTCCACAACACACATACTGGAAAATAATAGCATTTTTGTTAAATACTCTTGCCTTCAAGCCTCTCTGTTGAGGACCTAATGGCTGAACCTCTAAATTATGGGAACTATTGGTTCTGCCTGTGATCTGTTGGAGATTTAGTTCTCTGCACCCGCTCCTTGGATAGAAATTTGGGTTGGAAGCACTATCCCTCTGACAGGCCACTCTGAAAGTCACCATCACTAATATCTGCAGTACTTGAGAAATGCAAGGTAACTGCCACTTGCCAGTCTAGAGAAAACTCACGTTAATGACCTCCAAGCAGCTCTAGTCTCCAACACACTTGTATCCTATAATTCAAAGCCCAGCAACTGCAGTTGTGGTTCCAGCAAACATGTCACTCCTTCTTCATGCCAGCCAGTGTTCCCCTCTGCAGTGTGCCAGAGACTTGATCCTACCAGAGAATAGCAGCAAAGCATTTTACACTGAGATGCCTGTACCCTGAGCTCAGCCAGATGCTCTGAATGATGCAATCTTGCGTTAACAGATAACCTACATCAGTCCCAGGTTACTGTCAGCTGCTGGCATAACCTTTGGCATCACTTGTCCCTCCCATCTCTTCATTCGGATCATGTGGGACTGAGCCCATGATCTCATGCAGAGACATGATGTTGGAGGCCAAAGCGAGTTTAAGTAAGTGTATTCCAAAGATCCAAAGCATCTTGCACCCTGAGGAACAGGCAACACTTTTTTGCAGGGAACTCCCTGGTAAATGTCATCCTTGCAGACTTCATGAATTTCCTGGTGGTGAAGTCACTGTTAATGGCTGTCTCCCCGGATCCTCAGGAAATGACCTTGTTGGCTCCAGAGATGGCCACCCCTACGGTTGGGATGGATGGGATGGATGGATGGATGGATGGATGGATGGATGGATGATGGATGGATGGGTGGATGGATGGATGGGATGGGACGGATGGATATCAACGTTCAGACACAGCCCTTCTGTCCTGAAGTGGATCCTTTGAACAAGATATTTTGAAGATGCTGGAGATAGGGAACTTTGCTGGCTCGAACTACTGCCATCTCCCACTTTTCTCCTCCTGATGTTTTTTTTAAAAACCATCTTTACTAACAAGTTTTCCACATTGGATCCAGATACGTCTCTCCAATTTGAATTACACCTCTAGGTTGGTTGCAGCCACTCTGCCATACAAAAAGAGAGGAAATCCTTCATCCACAATTAGTGACTACTGGTGGCAGGCAAGGGAAGACTTGGAAAATCTTTGGGTCTGAGAAGCATTAGTCAAACCTTATCAGAGCCCGTGCTAAAGGCAGGTTTTAGTACATCTATGGTAAATCTGCCTACCTTTTATTAGAGGAGAACTCAGAGAACATGCAGAGTGGCTCCTGGCTAGAACCAGAACCCAACTGTGGCTATAGCCAGAACATCATCATGATCACTGACAATGCAGAGATCAGCCATTCACCAAGGTCAGCCCATCATGTTAGATTCTACCTTAAAAAATGCTCTGCTCCCATCTGAACTGATGGGTTGGCTGAAGAGGAGAAAGGAAGAATGGAACCAGCCCTGAGGGAGTGAACATGCTGAGTTCCTGTCAGCACCCAGCAGCTTTTGCAAGGTAGTGATTTCTTTCAAATGGGATGGGAAGCATTGCTGCTGCCTACATTTGAGGTGAGGGAAGGGCTGATGCTTATTGATTTTTTTTTCACGTCCATGCAAGGAAACAATCAAACCTGGAGTGAGGATCCTTGCCATCACATCAATAAAAAGCATTCTTTTTGGATGTGAGGAAGGCTCTCCAGAGACCAGGGCTCAGCCTGGGCTTGTCACTGGTAGTTTTACTCCTGGTATAAACACTTTAAAATGCCAATAGTTACTCTTCTGTCTCCTCTTTCTTTTGTGGTTTCAACCACCTGGCTTGTCAATTGTTTCAAGAAGAGCTAATTAAAAGCTGAAACTGAGCCAATGAGGTACCTTCATTGAGTGGCAAATTCACTGCTTGTAAATATTCAATGGAACAAAGATGTAAAAGCAAATCTGGCGACACGTTGTAACCCCAAGCTCCCTGAAAGCCCACCACTCTTGAGGGAGCTCTCTGAGACACAGAGGCCAGGAGTGGGTTAGCCTTCTATGATACAGATCAGGCTTAGCTTGAAAAACCATCCACAAAGTTGGAGTCCTTCCTGATTCTCCAGCCTGATACCAATTGCAGTGAACTCACAAAGAGCACTGCCTCTGAAATATTCCTGGTCCTGATTTGTTTTCTGGTTTGGTTACCACATGTGCAAACACTGTGAATGCTCTTACCCTATTGTTTCAGCACTGTTAGCCTTGCAGTGCTGGATCAATGAATAAATTAAGGAGCATGCTTCTTCTATGACAAACTGAAGCTCTTGAGCCTTTGCTGCTTTTTCAGCTGTGCCCAGGTCACATAATTGCCCAAGGCTGTGTGAATCCTGACTTTGTGCTGATTTGTCCAACCCTGAAAGGGACATGGTTGCTTTGAGGACCTGTTTTGATCCTTTGCTCATGCCAATGACCCAGGAAAGGCCTCTCTCATCTCTAGAGGTGAGATTAGCATTATTGTTCACGATGGAAGTAGAAGACCACCAACTGGCCTCCTGTGGAGCCTTTCTGCCATGAGTCTGTCGTTCAGACCACAGCTGCAAAAGCAAACAGATAGAGAGTCTAGGAAACACAAGAGAGAGGCATTCAACACCCAGTGATGGCTGTGGCTCTCCATAAGGCCTCTTTCTCCTGCTTTGACCTCCATACCAGAGAGATGACTGGCTGTTGTCTTCCCAAAAGTTACTGCAATTCTGCCACGTATTTGCACACAGCCCCACAACAATTTTAAACAACACATTAAAATGCAAAGGAGAAAAATATAAAGGCTCCAGAAGCAAGAACAAGGACAAAGCTGATTTTCAAATTGATTCAATAAATATAAACAAGGAGCAGCATGCTACAGTAAGCGATTTCTCTGCACAGACGAGATTAAATCAGTCAGGAGGGAGGGGGCACAGGCAGGGGTAGCGGTAGCTGTCAGGAAGGAAGCTGCCAGAGAGGCTGATCCTGAGTGAGAAGGGAAAATGTGGGTGATGCCAAGGCCCTAATTTACTGCCAGTTGCTGTTTCTGATTGCTTGCTTCCCACCCACCCTCTTTGCCCGAGCTTACAAAGCAGCAGCTGCCGGCAGCTGTGGGCAACAGCACAAGCGTTAGAGCTCCCCACTGCTGCACCACGCTTACCCGTGCCAGGGCAGAGCCACAGTCGGGGTTACGAGCCGCAGGGGATGCAGCAGAGTGGGACCGTCTCCACTGGTGGGGCATATTTGGGTTTGTGTGGCATGCCAGCAACATGGAGCGGGGCATTTATGGGTTGGAGGGAAAAGAGAGAAGAGACCACCAGCAGATCAAGACCAAAACAGGCAGGCGTTCACATTTCCACCGGCAAATGGTCATGCAGAAGGACAGAGGGAGAAGTGAGCAGTCATGCTTGGGTGTCCTCCAGCTAAGCACAGCAACCAGCCCTCCAAGCCCTTCCTCCCTCGACCCTCAAGAACCGCTCCAGTCGAGACCTGAGCTGGGGACCCCAGTAAGTAGCATCCAGCCTCCTGGAGTGCTGCGGGGCTGCATGTTACCCACTCCTGGCCCCAGCGCAGCTCTCTCGTGCAGCGTTTCTTCACCACCCCTCCTCCCTGGCCTTGGCCACAGGGCTGACCTTCATCTCTTGGGCCTCCAGCACCTTCTTGCCATCCCAAGCCCAGCTGCGCTTGGTAAAGTAGTTGACGGTGGCAAATTCGATCAGCGCAGAAAACACAAAGGCGTAACAGACGGCTATGAACCAGTCCATGGCCGTCGCGTACGCCACTTTAGGTAACGAGTTTCTTGCGCTGATGCTTAGTGTGGTCATGGTGAGGACAGTGGTGACACCTGTGGAAACACAGCAGGAGACAAGGATGCTCTGAGACTATAAGCTCACACCCACCCAGTTTCTTCTCGAACCACACAGTTGGCATTTCCATCATGCAAATTTAGGAGCCATCCTCTCAGCCAAGTGGCCCACATTCCCAGTATAATTAAGGGACCCTTACCCAGTACAAGTCCGTGGTGCAATTCATAGAATGACTTAACAGTCCAGGTTGGAAGGAAAGTCAGCTTGTCCAACCCCTGCTCAAGTCTGGGCCAACTTCAGGTTGCTCAGGGCCTTCTCTGGTTCAGTTTTGAGTATCTCCAATTCATATAATCAATGGTAAACATCTGCATCTGGATGAGATTAATCTTTCCCAAACTCCATCAACTAGATCTCTGCTCACTATGAGTCCTAGCTCACAGGTAGGCACCCGCATTCAGCTCCTCATCTGCTAGCAGGATAAGTTGTGTGATGCTAGACCCACCTCCCTCACATAGAATATGCCATGGAAAAGCCTCTGGTTGCTTTTGCAATAAAAAATAGTAATAACAGTAAAAAATAATAAAATAGCAGTAAAAAGAACAGCTAGATGGTTGGGAACTTCATGGGGGACCAGAAACTGGTCACTCATTCAATGTGGTTCTCTCAACATTTTGGAAATAGTGTCGTGACCTGCCTGGATGGACACCTGGGATCCTGGGTCCTGCTGGCATGGCCAAGCACCCGGCAGTGGCCCAAACTGCCAGAATGAATGTCACAATGATTTATCTTTATAAAATGATCTGTTGCAAAATGCCTTTTAAAGCTTTTTTCATTAAGGCAAGCAACCCTTGCTATCCATTTTCCCCAATAATCTGCTTTTCAATTAAAAATGCATTAAAAACTTTATAAAAATATTGACTAATTTTCACTTCCCTTAAGCCATACTCCTGGTAATTGAAGAGTTTCAACAATATTGTTGACAACACTTTCTGAGGGGAAAAAAAAAGGAATAAACAATTGAAGTTCTCATTATTTTCTTAATAGGAAAGCAAGGCAATTTGTGAGTAAAGACATTTTTCACAAAGGTAGGTTTTAATTTTTCAGTCAGCTCTTTCCTTCTCAATCAGAGCTGCTACTCGAGGAAACCTGTCTAATTGCAAATCTCAGGACAACATAGGAGGGAATCAAATACCCTCAGAGAAGGGCTCACTGCCGGTGTCAGGGATGCAGAGATACTCCAGAACCACTACAGATGTAAGAGCCCACCTGGGGCGTGGACAGACACCGGGTTCAGCTGCGCACTCTGGGGTTTAGTTGCAAATTATTCACAGACAGACGAGTGAGGAAAGTTCACCAGTGACTGTATGCCTGAGCTGGTCCTATTTTCCACATGATTTCTGTCTGAGCCCCCGCTTTTCCATTCTGTTGGATGCAAACACCAAAAAGTGGGTGCTAAGGGGCTGCACCCCCTCTTCCTCACTGTTATCACTGTTCAATGCAGCAACGGCAGGCTGGATCACACAAACCAGTTTGGTCACACTAGCTGCCCAGCTCCCCGCAGCCGCACTCTGCTCCGGGGATCACTGTAGGATTTGCCTCACCAGGGAAGGGAAGACAACCTGATCCTAACTGGGAGAAGCTGGGGTCAACTGTAAATTTGAAAGCTTATTCATGACCTACATTTCACAAGTCACAGTGAACATAAAAACCATAATGATTCCCTTCTAGCTCATTTAGAAGGATGCAGAACTACCTGTGACCATCCCTGCATCCCATTCCAGTCCACAGCACAGGAACAAGATCCAGGCCTGCAGAGAGGGTCTGGAAAGGAGGACATCAGCCTTGCTGGGTTTGTGGGATTATTTCCATCAGGACTCTCGCTACAGAGAAAATGCTTCATGATCTTTGAAACCACACCACTTTCTGTCTTATTCAAAAACACGAGCAGGTGGTACCATGTATCCCCTCTCTGCTTGGTTTCTTTTGTCCAGTATACTCTTTGTTAAGTGGTGTCTGCTGAGCACTGTTATTTCCAGGAAATACAATCCTGCAGCATCACACCTTGTCTGTGAGTGTGTGTGTGTGTGTGAACTAAAGGTCTTGGCAGGAAAGCAGAAAGCAATTCTGTTATTAAATGTTTGTAAAAGCTATTAATATACGTGCAATTCCAGTCTGACACTTTGCCTTGGAGAGAGCATCTGAAGCCAGCTGAAGAAAATAATAACAATATATTTACCACGCAGTTATAGTGCCTCAGCCCAGTTATGTGGAGCTCTGACCAGGGGCACATCAGCAATTTCAAAGGTAGAGATTTAAATGCCTCCCCATGTACTGGTCCTCTCCTCCACTCAAAAGCCAATATAGATAAGCAGACACAGCCAAATGCATATAATTAGATGATCAATACCTTGATTACAGTTAATATTTATGGCTTGGCTTAGCAGAAACATGGACAGAAGTATTTGTGCAGTGATTCAGTGGAAGCAGGGGCACTGGGAAGACAGTGAGAGCTATTCTGGGAAATGGCCAGCTTCACTGATTCTGGTCAAGGCCTGGAGCAGACCAGCTCTGATGCTCAGTCTATTTGCTGTCATTTGTGGTGCCTTCCTCCCCCAACCTGAGAGGATGCCCCATACTCCCAGACTCACCAAAAACCGTTCGGGCAGGAACAGACTCCCTGTTAAGCCAGAAGGAGACCTGGGACAGGATGACCGTCATGATGCAGGGTAGGTAGGTCTGGATCACAAAGTACCCAATCTTCCTCTTGAGGTGGAAGTGTGTGGTCATGACGACATACTCCCCTGCAGAGACAGCCCGTTAGAGATGCTGAGCCACCAGTGCTTTCCAGGATGGGGCCAGCTGACCACCAATCCATCTCTAAACCACTAAAGATCTGTCCTGAGCAAACTTTCAAGTCCTTAGATGGAATTGCAGTGTGTGTGTCTGATATTGCTGCTGGCTGGCATGCCTTGGCATCTGACAGTGCTGCAGGCCACCCTAAAGCTGTGTGAAGGAGGGGTGCATGCTGCAGCACACTGTGAGCACTGACTTTGCACATCCTGCACTCACATGCACACAACTGCTGGGCCATGCCAGAAGCGTGCCCCAGTGCAGCTGGGGTGACTTCCACATAGTATTTGTCCTTTCACAACACTTCTCTGGAGGCCTCATTAATTCACTAGAAAACTGCTGTGGGACAAAGGCAAATCAGCACCAATAAGCAGCCAGGCAATAGACTTTTCCTGTTTCATCCCAGGCACAAGATGCCTCTGGGGGTCTCTCCTGATCCAGCTCCTATTCCTTTGCTGCTCCAGCCTAGGAAGCCAAGTTGTGGGTAAGATCCCTTAAGCCTAGAGATACTAACAGTGCTTCAGTAGGATTTCAGGACAAAAGATTTTATTTGCTCTGACGATCCTGAAAATATTCCACCTTTCCTCTCTGTAACCATCTCAAAAATCAGGGCAAGTTCTGTTGTTAAAGTCTGGGCTGCAAACCAGTTGTCCCTATTTTGCCTCACTGACCTATTCCTCCCCTCAAAGCTTTGGATATTTTGTTGGATTATTGTGCCTTTTTGTTGTGAACGTGACTTTGGTAAATCATTACACAGAGGAGCCTTTAGCAGCTTTCTTGCCACCTCAGGTTATTCATCTGAACATTTTACTATAACTTAAGTAGAGAGATGGGCCAGATATTATGACATTTAGTTCCCTGGACTCCCCACATTTCCCCAAGGGAGGTGATATGACTTGTTACAGACAGACACTATTAAAATCAAGTGCACCAGAGAGGAAATATCCTCAAATGGGAGAACTACTGGTGCATACAGAGGGAAAAAAAAAAAGAAAATAAAAGAAAAGAAGAAGGATGAGACAAACACATGAGATAACAGAAGCTATCAATACCTGGATTCCAAGGAGAAGGGAGGAGCAGCAGATGGGAGAGAAAGATGATTAATATTGGTCATTAATCAGCGGAAACATTTGTTTGGGATAATCTTCTATTAGCTGTGATAGTATTTGTGTAAGCAGATGCAGTGAAAATCACACTGAACATTATGTGCATTCACCTCCCCTGCCTGCAGTGCTCTCCTGAGGGACTGTAAAGGGATCCAAGACAAATGAACCCACAGTACCAAGAACCAGCTGAGCAAGGTGGGGCAAATCTTCCACACAACAGATCATTTTTAGATGTTAGAAAGGAGTTTTCTAGAGGGTATGTGTGATAAGGCTTTCAGTGGAAACCACTGAAAGCTAAACCCTTTATGCCTCTTGGTGACTGCTCCAGATACGCTCAGACATATTCTCCAACAGCATGTGACTTGGGAAGTACTGTGGTGCTCACTGACCACATGTACTGCCTCTAATCATGCCAGATCACAGCATTCAATGCCCATGGGTCCATCTCATCTGACAGTGTGCTTGGTCCACGCGTCGCATCGTGGTCCCACAAGTACCTGTGCTGGATCGAACCATCTCAGTCCCAACAACATGGCCCAGCAGGTCATACTGGTTCAGGCGAGATCCACCCTTCGCTACTTCCACTGATTTATCCTTCCCCAGTGTCCAGGTGTAGATCACCTCTGTCTTTGTGTAGGCATCTGTGGAGGAGAAAGAAGAATGAAGTTTGTGCTTCTGCCTGACCTAGAATATACCAAAATTAGCCTGTAGCCAAATTAATCCTTTCTGTGCATTCCTCAGAGCCACATGGCTGAGCGCAGCCAAGCACAGCCAGAGACCGAGGCAATTCAGCAACTGTTAAATCGAATGAGCAAAAAGGAGCTGGGGTTTTCAGAAGGGAGCTGGAAGAAGGGGCAGAGCACTGTCGCTGAGAGACACGCTGTCCAGACCAGCTGGCTGCTGGGGCAGCAGGACAGTCACAGCCCTGCCATGACAGGGACTGGGAGAGCCACGCTGACAGCTAGCTGGCAAGAAAGGCTAAATGCAAATGGGGTTGAATTTTAGGTTAAGGGGAAAAAGGTTAAAAATCTATACCCTCGCTCAGAAGCAACCCTGTCCCAGCCTTTTGGCTTTAGAGGTGGTGTGCCCTCCCACCGAGATGCTTTTTTTCCTGCACAACCCTGTGTTTGCTGGCCTACAGGCCAACCTGCCAGACAGCGAGGGAGGGCAGTGCTGAGGGAAGCCTCTGGACTGCTGCCTGGGGCAGGGCTGGGCTCAGGGCCAGGGCATCCTTCCAGGAGCTTGAAAGGTCCCCTCTCCATCCCACCCGCCCAGCTCCCGATATGCGAACACCTCTCTCTAACACATACAGTCACCATCACCTTCATAACCCTTTGTGGCCAAACCCCTGCTTGTCCTCATAGCCACTCCCTTTCCCAACAGGACCTGCATGCTTTTGGCTTTGCCAGCCCTATGGTACACAGGAATTGAGGCTCTGCAGACTCTACTAGGAGCTACTTCTCCCCATAATGCCCAAGTGTCCTGTCCATATCCACTTTGAGCCACTCTGGCAAGAACAAAGTTCACTAGAACAAGTTTTTAATTCATTTTTACCACCAGCTTCTCATATAAAGACATTAAAGAGTTCTTTGACTGGGGTCAAGTCAAGCAACAGGTCAGGTCTACGACAAAAATGGCTCAGCTCCTTCTTTGTGGAAGAATATCCTGAGACAAACAGATTTCTCTGATCTTTTTAAAACAACCACCATTATCCCTGCACTGTAGGTTTTGGCAAACCTGTTAAATACTAAGCAAGTGCTATGCAAAGTGGGGGGGCTGGTTTTGATGATCAGCCAATGTTTCTCAGCACACCAGCGTGCTGCCTAAGCACTTCTGACGCAGGCTGGCACCTCTCATCTGATGTGGAATGCTCTGCTTTTCCAACCCTTCCTTCCAGCTCTCAACATGCTTCTGGAGACCTCTATCCTCCGTCAGGCTTGGGTTTGTACAGCTCTGCCAATGCTCTTTCACCTTGAAGGGCAGCACCTTCTGCTTCAGTAGGTCACGGTTCACCCACCGCCACTCTCAGTCTACAAATCAAACTTGCCCGCAGTTTCATTGCCATCAGCCCTGAAAACACAGTTGTCTACGTATCTGGTCGTCTGGGACAGAAGTGTATCTGGTGTCACACAGGCATGGCGTGGATGTTTGGAACATATTTAATGCCACGAAGCTGTTTTGGTTCTGCTCAATGCCTCACTTGCAATGCAGTCTACTCCAACTCAAATGGGGACAGCTTGCTGACATTTAGTGGAGCTGGTAACTTCAGCAGCATGTTCTGCCAGACTAGTCTCAGACAGCTGCTGTACAAACGTGCTATGACTGGCTTAGAAACAGTTGTTCCCTGCTGCATACAACCATCTTCTAGGGAGCAGGGTGATAGGTAAAGCCATCACCTTCATGGTGGACAGCTGAAGCTATCTGAAATGAGTGGTGTCTAACTTCTCCTGCAAGCACTTTGCCTTCCCTCCCTGGGCAGCTGCCGTGGCACAGGGACAGGAGGCCACTGATGAGCCATTCAGGTTGTGGGGATCACTGGAAGGTGGTCACTGAGGCAAATTCAGCTGTCCTCTGAACAGCACGTGTCTGGCCCTGGCATTGTCTTCCTACTTACAAATCTGATCTACTCTAAGCTTCTTGCAAATGAGCAGCTTCCAGCTGTCAACAGCTTTTTGTGCAAACACTAGTTTAATGCTGCTCCAACACCGGAGAGGTGAGCTCAGATGCTATGTGGATGGGTGCTTTAGAAAAAGCCATACTAATGTCAACCAGGGACAGCTCTCTGAGCTGCTTCTATCAAAACTCCCATCATTCAGAGGCCAGATCAGTAAAAATACCCAAAGAACCCCAAAGGGTGTTCCAGCAGAAATATGCACATTAATGTCTTTTCCTCACCAAGAAACCTTCTAAACAATTAGATGTGGAGTAATCTGCCTTCCTGAAAGTCTTGTAATAATTCCAGAGTTTAGGCCTGAGGTATGAGATTTTATATCCCTCCTCACAAGGTCAATTAGCATTAATAATTCACCCTTTTCTAAGGCTTGCTATTTTACTGGCCTTAGTGATGTCTTGTGGCAATGAGTTCTACATTTAATTAGGTGCTGCCTAAGAAATAAATTTATTTTAGTAGTTTTGAATAATCCAGTTTCATGGATGCATTTTGTCATGAGGCAAAGGAGTAGATGCACATGATAAACATGATTTCTTCTGGTATCAATCAAACTTTTCAGCTTCTCCTTAGTTAACTCCCAAATGGCTACAGGAAGGAAGTATCAGTTTAGAAAGGTTGTGATTTCTCTGTTTTCTTAGAGTCCAAAAGGGGACATTACTGGTGGGGGCTCATTCTTTAGTTGGAGGTGGGTAACTCTTCCATCTAGTGCATAGACTGGGAGTGGTGCTCAGTTCGTTGGACCTGGAGGAGACTCCAGGCAGACTGGGACAAGGACATTTACTTCCTGAACCAGTGGCTTGGAATTTGGTCCCCACTCACTTTAGGAACAAAACCAAAAGAAATTTAATTTGTGTATGGGAGAGAAGAGGGAAATTATTCCTAGGCAGGGTATGGGAAGCCCAGATGAGCAGCTGCAAGCCTGGAAGGCTGGGAGCAGCTTTCAGCTCACCAGCAGCCTGCAAATCTGCCCTAAACCAGGACCCTTGGGTCTTGGAGCGGCTCTTCCCAGAGTTTCCAAGACTTTAACTTGAGAGCAGCCTGCCTGGCAGACTGAAGAGGAGCAAGGGGTTTGTAAGCTCCACTGGAGCATGGAGCCAGAGCAACCAGAGATTTCAGACTCTCCCCAGATTAGCAGGAGTGGTGTAGGGAAGCTGAACCTAGCAGCCCACACCACTGCTGTCTTCCCAAATCTGTCCTCCCAGGATCACCTTGTGGTGAAGGAAAAGCATCTCTGAGTTTTCCACCAATGCTGGTCCTTCTGAGGCAGCGCTGGAGAGGCAGCACTGCCCACAAAAGGCAGGGTGGTCAACGGGAAGCTGCTCTTCCCACTTCTCTAATAACCTTACAGCAGAACCATAGGTGTCTCACCCATCCTGTGAGCCTGAATTGACCACAGATTTGCTTGCTGCCCATTTCTAATGATGGTAGGAATTGTATGTATGAGATACCAGAAACAAATTTTTGATCATATTATCATTAGTAATAACTAATAACACTATTACTAAGATACTGTATTAATAAAATACTAGCCACACAAAGGACTGTTCTTCAGCTCTGTACCCACCTCCTTACAGAGGCTGAACAAGGTACTTACAGCTCCCAAATTTCAGCGGGCAAGCGTGCACATCCATTGGGAAGTCCTCCAGGTGCATGGGGCACTCTGCATGAATCGTTAGCCTACAAGACAAAACACAGGGCATGATCAGAAACGCCCGGCTGGAGAGGCTCCCACCTGGTCCTTCTGCCACAGCATCTTTGCCTTGCACACATCAAAGGCAACAAAGGCTGCAATGTGGTCACTAACCTCTGGGTGTCTGGGCAGAAGGCCATCAGCTGTGGAGAGAACAGCAGGCACACAGGTCTGGCAACCTTTCCCATTGCATAAACTCAACCCTCTTGACTGAGTTCATCTTCAATTGCTCAGTGCAATCAGAAAATCTGCCAAAGCCCAACACTTCTGTTTGCTTACACACTGTGCACAAAGAGCTCATTAATGGGGACATCTCAGGGACCATGCTGGGAAGCAGAGGGAAAGGGCTTCCAGGGAACACGGCCTGTTCTTCCTGGTGGACTGGAAGGAGCTGAGAGCTGGCACACTGTTCAGTCAGGAAGCCACAGCACTACCGGGCTTGCTGAGCAAAGTCAGCAAGAGCCATGAAGTCGCAGGTGTTGCACCAGCATAGATGAGGCATGTGGGGTGCCTCATCCCACCTCCCCTGGCTCTCTCCTCGCTGGTGGCACTGCAGAGGATGCTGTGCGCAGATGCAGAGCTGCATGTCCTGGGGGTGTTTGGGGGGGGGTGGGGGTGCAGGACAACTTGTGTGCTCTACGCATCCACCAAATCCCAACAGGATACCTCGTTAGGAAGAGGTTTTGTGAGAGAGGCACAACCATAAAAGTAGTGTGTTTCAGAACATGGGGCCAGACATACAAAGATCTGTTATGAAAGGCTCTAAAAAACGTAGCTTTAAGCTCATGTTCCTGAAGTACCACAAAGCCTGCAGCCTAGGAGGGGGAGCCAGGACAGGGCTTCCCAGGAGATGTCTAATACAATCGTCTCTGAAGGAACCATTTGTAGAAAAAAACTACCCACTTCTGATGGCTCGGCAAAATAACAAATAAACCATGACAGAAGCAACATGTGGATGCAAAGGGCAAGTGCACAGACCTAAGGCTGAAGGTGCCTTGTGGAAAACTCAAGCCAAGAAGCACAGTGGAAAGCTTCTGTTGAGATATTTTCCTTCAGCTGGAAAAATGTTCAGTTAAGTTATTCTTCACAGAAAATACTGAGGCTTAGTCAAATGCAAAACAAACCCTGAAAAAAAATAAAGGGTTCAGAATTTGTTTGCTAAAATCGAAAAAAAAAAAAAAAAAAAAAAAAAAAAAAAAAAAGAGAGGACTGTTTTTTTAAATTTGGCATTAAAAAATTGGGGGGACAAAACCAAGCACTTCAAAAATCGCTCTAAAAACTCCTGTGGGGGAAACAAAGCAGAATCCCCTTGGAGGTGGCAGAGGATCTCCGAGGCTGCAGTGATGGTGGCTGCGGGCGGCAGATGGTGCTGTGACAGGCGGACACCTGCACAGGCGACGGACGGAGCAGCAACAAATTTCTGCAAAGATGCTCCATGTTGGCTGTGAGAGCAGCCCAGGCTGCGCTGGAAACTCTGTGCTGGCTGCGAATTTTACTCTGCCAGGTGAGGAAACGAACCTCACGATTTCAGACCTGTATTCAGCCTCATCTGCTTCTTTTAGAGGGTCTAGAAAAACTGGCATCCTGCGAGAGACAGGCAGAAGCATTAAATCAAGAACTGGAGGAGCAGAGCTGGAAGCTGCTGTAACTTTGACGGGGCAGGGCTGGGTGGCCAAAACCCTCCTGCGTGACCCACAGCCCCTGTAGCACCCACAGCAGGGATTTAAATCCCAGTTAACCCAGCCTTTGGGAGTGTCTGGGAGGTGAGGCACATATCTCCTCTGCAGGGGTCACTGGGGTCACAGTGCCGCAGAGCAGACTGCACCATGGGCAAGTCTACGCCTTGTTGCACCAGCTAGCAAAGGAAAGCGGTGAGTTTCCTGCAGACCTTCTGAACACAGACCCACAGTGTTTCAGTGGTACGTCTCTGTTCCCTAATGCAACAGCAGCCCATATTCATTTCTGCAGTTTTTCAATGCCAGGTACCCCTGTCCTGTCTCCACTGGGCACATCCACCCCCCTGTGCCCCAAGAGCCACCCCACAGTGGAGAAAAAATCCTATAAAAGCAGCTCCCACAATCAGGACAGCTATGATTCTGATAAAGAGCTCTCAGCTACTGAGCATCAGCAGAACGTTGTCCCCATACACCCCATGGGGAGTCCTTGGGCTGTTGAGTCACCATTCACTGCTGGGTCCCATGGGCTCACAGCACAGATGCTCTGTACTCCGAACACATTAATCACAGAAGATTTATTGGGTCTATGCAGGCTGACTCCACTTCCAGTAGAGGAGGCCAGTGGATATTTACAGACACTTATAGAGAAGCACGAAACATGGGTGAATTCAGAGAAAACCACACTTTGCTGTCATCTCCCAGCAGCTCGTGGTTTACAGCTTCCATGATTCAGAGGCTGTATCCAGGTGACTGAGTGCACCAGAGACCAAGGACCTTTTCTACTCAGAGTCTGCCAGTCCTTTCTGAATCCGTGTCCATGAACAGGGACCACTATGTCCTGTAGTAAACATTCTACTGACAAACAGGTGATGACTGTCCTGCAATATATCTGGCCCCAGCTTGGCTATCTCAGCCAATCCAAGAACCACTGTGTGGCCAGTGGAACTTCCTTGGGAATAAATCACTCTGACTTGCTGATCTCTTCTTCATCTCTGGACTGAATGTACCTGTTTTACATGAGAGAGAGAGACTTGATCTTTATGTCTTCAACCAAGACTCACTGAAGTCAACAGAAAGACTGACAGTGATTCTGACAGGCCTACAAGCACATCGTTGGAAGTACTTTCTTCTGGACACTCAAAGGTCACTATGAACAAATTGTTCATTTGCTCTAACACCTCTCTTTTGTAATCTGCTTGAAGATGAGGATTTCAAGAAGACAGTATGAAAATCTGGCAGCAAGGTGTGGAGTCAACAGCCCTGCTCCTCCTGTTCTATTTCTTTTGTGATGCTTTCTTCTGTCAGCTCAGAATTTACTTGGGGGAGCTTCATGGTTAGCAAGCTTGTCAAGAATGTCCTCACAAATCTTACCACTCTATTCCTTCTGTGTACTTTCCAAGTGCAATGGACTTTTTTCTTCTAATATTTGTCACTGTCACTTGTGTAAAGGAAATGTTGATGCATTCCCCCCATCTTCCTCAGCAGGCCACACAAGACATTTTCTTACCTTCTTATTCCTTTGTTGGCTTCACTAATTACTTTATTATTTCAAAAGGCTCTTAGCTGGGTGTTCCCAAAGTCGGCTTTTCCAAAGGACCTCTCCTCTGATCAGTGCTTTCCTTCTGATGTATCCTGAACTCCCCCAAAAAAACAGGTCTTCTTCATCCACTGTACTGTTTGCAAGTCTTGAATGTGATCAACAGCTACTATGAATAAGGAAAGGACTGCAGATTATAGGTCCGGTGGTTGAGTGCCATTTAGAGCAGACAGAAAGAGCGTCAGAGGGGACCAGGATGGCAGCAAACACCAGCTGGGCACAAAATGGCCTTGGCCATACCCTCCTGCTCTCTTCTGGCCATGGCCAACAAGAACAGGTATTGTCAAGAGAAGGAGACAACTTTATATGGATGCTGGATGACTCCATAGGTGTGTGGGAATGCAACAGTCACACTTTAAATCTAAAGTGTATTTTATTAGCTGATCCAGTAAATAACACAATAAATCCATCAACAAACCACTGAAAAGGCAACCTAATCTGCCACTTCTCCACCTACAACTGAAGGAGCTTTTAAATCTCCTGAAATTAAATCAAAAAGAAAATGCCACATCATTCCTGTGAGATGAGTCTGGTTCAGCAACTTCAGCCAGTCAGCACGTTCACAGATAACTCAGAAGGGAGTTATCTCTTCTCTGCCAAGGGGGGAAGCAATACAGGCATTCCCTCTCCCAAGTGCTCTCCCCTGCCTCAAGCCTCTTTGCTTTGCCCCCCATGCATGCCGGGGTGTGCCGGCTCCCTGCAATGCTCTCCTGCTGCTCGCTCCTGCTCACCCTTCTGCCCCCCGCATCCCTCAGCCATCCTTCAACCCCCTCCTGCAGCCTCTCTTGCACACACTCATCTTTCAGGGTGCTAATTAGAGAGGTATTTAGGTGAGCTGTGGAATCAATCACTGCTCAGGAGAGTGCTCACAGTCCCCTTCCACTCCCCCGCCTGCTGGCCTTCCCCGCCACCTCCTGTTGCTGGCAAAGGACTCCTCAGCACCATATGCTTTGCCTAATGAAACGTCAAAATGTCAAACTAAGAGGAATGTATCTTGCTTCCCAGACAATTACCACTGCCTCTACAGCATTTAGGTAAAAGAGCATGCTACAGAAATTCTCAACTTTGCCCCTTACCCTGTGCAAGGTAGCTCATGGCCAGCTAGCCACAGAGGTCTGCTCATTGCTCCGATGTTCAGGTCCAGACATCCAAGCCCTAAAATGTCATTATAAAGCCTAAACGGTATGTGAAAAATAGCCAAGCTGCCAGCAATCCCATAATCCAGCTGTTGTATCCTTTGGCTCAGCTGTCCCAGGCACTAGCAGTAACTTACACAGAACTGTCTTGAAATCACACCCCAAGCTCCTCATGTCTTCTCTTCACTTTGCTGGCACAATGGCACCAAAAGTGGAACATCCAGGAAAGAAACCATGTTTTTCTCTTTAAAGTCATGGGAAGTCCTTTGAACTGCTCAACACAATGGCAAGAAGCGTGAATCAGGCTAAACATACCTCTCCCAGGGCTGACGGTACAACAAACCACTTCATCTGCGTTCTCATGGTTACCAGGAGCTTAGCAAAGCCTTTGATGTGTCATTAGAGCCCCTGTCGTTACCTGCGTCTTGCTGCAGGATGAGCGAGAGTCTCAGTCCAATTTCTGGGACGCAAATGTAATAATCCCTTGGTGTATGTGTGGTACAAAAACATGACAGCACCCTGCACGGCAGAACTGACTTTGTTTATGCCAGGGATATTTGCTTGAGTTTTGTCCTGATTTCTCCTCTATGAGATTCATTAATAACCACAGTCAGGCCAAATAGTGTTTACCGTTTAGGCTGTGTGAGAATCTAGGTTAGGTTTAATTGCTGGAGTTTGAGATTGAAAGCCAAATTGCTTCTAGGATCCTTGTACTGGATCTGAAAGTGCTGAATTCAGTTTGCATTCTCCCCCAACCCCTGGAGATTTCAGCCCATGATGGCAGAAATGCAGCGAAATAAGGTGATCTCTGAAGATTTCTCCCTCCTGGGACAGCTTCCTTACAGAAGTCTGCCTGCACAAAACCAAGCCTAGAAGAAAGATAATTTCTATCTTTGGATACACTCTGGAATCCGTAAGGCAGGGAAAAGCAGGCTATGCAAATCTCATCTATTTTGTCTGCTTGCATGTTCAGTAGTCAGTCTAGCTTTGGTCTGCTCGGGTCCATTTACACTGCTGTCTAGGATCATCCCTGATGTGGGATGCAGCTGTCAGTCCAAACTACCCAGAGGAGGTGGTGCTGGGATGGCCCAGCTGCTGCTCTTGCAGAAAGAATGATGGTTGCACCTCCATTGTGTGGAAGGGTTTTGTGAGCTCCAGTCTACAGCTCTCTCAAGTTGCCCGGGGTTTAAAAAAAAACAGGCAGTGAAGACAACACAAAGCCTTTTCTGGGAGAGACTCTGTGAAGTTCTGTGATTTCAAAAGGCAGCCTGGGAACCTCAAACCCTGAGCATGCTGCAGGAGGTACAAGATTTGTTATCTTGGGTTCAACAGCCCCGGTAGGACTGCACATGTCCTGGGTGCCTTTGTACTCAGCTTTTCCTTCTGTTCTACCTCTGCCTCACCCAGGGGTTCACTGACCCTCCTTCCAAAGTGCTTGTGCACTGCTGCAAAGGGCTTCACGTTGTCTTTAGCAATAGAGGTTCTTGAGGCAAAGTCTCTGGGCATGCAGCTGAATGCATCAGCCTGGCAGTTAAAGAAAACATCCTTTAAGTGCATAACTTGAGCACATATTGTCTGGGAACCACTCTGACAATAACGACAAAGCTTCAACATGCCCCTCTGACAGTCCCTGTGAAGTACAGGAGAGCTCTTTAAAGCCTGGATTCACAAAGTTGAATCCCATCAGCACAGCATTAAGCTTTCACTATTTTCATATGCTGCAAGACCAGGAAGAACCATAACATTATCTATGTGTGCCACACAATTCAAGCCAGAGAGTACACCCAGAGATTGCTGCAGCAGCTGAGTTTTTGTCTGTGCCTTATGTAAATCCGTGCACAGTTCCTGCTTCATTGTACTGAGGTCTGACACCAGAGCTTTGAGGCCCCAGCTCAACTTTTCTGAACTGCTTGATCCTGTAGGAGCTCCACAAACAAGACTGCAGAGGCAGTGCTACATGATAAAGCTGTGTTCCTCATGCCCTCTAAGGCAGCTGGAGTAGCAGGGAAGAGGCAAAGGCATCAGTAATTCTGTCCCTTCCTCTGAATGAGGGGAATAGAGAAATGCAATTTTGTGCTGTGGTTGCAAAGGCCATCTTGTCACCCAGCTGCCAGGGCCTGAGTCAGTGATCTGATGCGTGCACCGTGACGTTGCACTGATCCATGAGGAGGCTGTGCCGTGACTAAAGGAAATCTCTGGACACTCAGCTACAGCTGGTGTGTGACTCCTTGAAGCTCAGGTCAGTGATAAAGAGGCTCTCTCCAGGAGCTATAAATACTGTCACACAGGTGTAATTTTGCTGGATGCATGTGTCAGAGTTGCTGTTCCACCAGAGCAACTTCATCTATAAATGTAAGCCTTGACTAAGAGAAGTTGGCTTTCACAGCAGGATAAATAGCAAGAGACATGCCTCTAATTGCACATCAGCAGAACTGATCCCTCAAGGATATTGGCTGGTACAAGGTAAAGGAGTAGGATATGTCTCAGGAGTCAAACTGCATGGCAATGTACCAGTCTAGACTGAGCCTGCAAAGGATGACCTGGGCAGTCCCACTAAGTCTAGGGGAAATCTGGTGGAGGTCCAAACTTGCTCTGTAGTCAGCAGGACAGAGCGTGCCTCTTTGGGACTTGCACTTTGCTGGATGTCAGCTGTGTGGGGCTGAGATTGGCTTTTTGATACTACTCTTTCCTTTGAGGACACATGTGCATACCCCTGGGCATGGGGGAGAACAGAAAATGTGCCACTTGGATATAAAACATGAGTCTCTTTCCAGCCTTTTCCTCGGAGGAGGTTTCAAAGCACTTAACAAGGGAGAGTGATACCATCATCATCATTCTACAGGGGAACTGGGGTGTGAGTGCCAGGTAGGACTTGGTCTCTGAGCCTCAGCCAGGTGCACAGTCCTGGACCATGCAGCCTGTGTCCTTCCTTTCTGAGCCCCTGCTCAAAAGATCCTGTGTGGCCCCAAGCAGGCATTTCCTTCAGCAGCAGGGAGAAGGGCAATCATCAGATGCACCAGGACAGATGTCCCATCCTGGACATGTTGAACTGCAAACCCAGAGGAGCCCTGCTTTGTCCTGGACACCCTGTCCTGTGCAGTGGGCAGTGCCTTCCAGGTGGCCATCTGGCCGGCTCTAACCATATCTCCAGCATCAGGCTGGCCCAGTACTGCCCAGAGCCCCACCAGGATAGCTTCACACACATCTGCACAGCAGCAATCTCTGCTGGGTGAGGAAAAGATCTCCATGCACTACAGCTCCTCATACTGTGCAATACAACACATGACAAAATATCCAACCCATACCTTTGGGTATCTCTGAGTGGGCTCTTCACCTCTCACACAGCCTTAATGGTACATTTAAGGTGGGCAGGAGCACACGGAAAGGGAGGTCCAGACTCTCCTTTATCCTCCCCTGTTTTGGGGAGACAGCTAAACTGAAGGATGTGTTGAATTTATTTAAAACATCCCATGAGTCCATTTTCTTCAAGAATCTCATTTCCAGGAGCCTCTCAATGCTGCCATCCTGGCACCTGCCCAGGCCTAAATGGAAAAGTAAATCCAATACTTCCTCAGTCACACAAAACTTGCCGAAGCTAATAGCTGTTTGCTGAATAAAGAAGTGAAATGATATAAAACTGCTGAAATCGAGTCCTTTTTTTTGCTGTCTTATGCCAGTAGCTCCCATAATACTTTACAGTCAGACAGTGATACCAATGAGGGGAGTGTTAGTCATCCACATGCAGGTCAGAGAGCCAGGAGCAGAACCCAGCCCTTAACTCAAGTTGGGCTTCTCTCTTCATTTACCCCATCTGCCTCAGTAACGTGAGGTCACTGATGTGTGGAGATCTAAACCCCTGGGGCTCTAGCAGGATTAGCTCATATTTGAGAGCTGCTGCACAAAAGCAGAGCATTGTTTATCAGTGTAGGTTGTAAAACTTGCTGACGCTATGTAGATTCACAGCCAGCTTAACTATGAAGAGATGAAATTCTGTCTGGTCCTCAAAAAACAGAGGTGAAAGGGTAGCATCTCAGCACACAAAATCCACAGTGAAGCCTATTATTAGTTAAGATTGGCTTGAAGATGGAGGCTGAGGAAATAATTCTTGAAAACAAAGATTTGCCATGTTCCAAAACCAACTCAACACTTTTCCTTGTGCATCTATGAGTAGCTTGTTGTTTCGTTTATAAGCCCATTTACCTTGGAAGGCAAATTAGTACATCAACCTCAGGTGGCAAACATTGTTTACATGGGTGAATAGCTTATAAGCATATAAAAATATCTGAATAGTTCCGGAACAAACGTACAATTAACCCAAAGGCATTTCTCTTCATGCTCTCCACCTGCTGTAGTTTAGTGATAAATGTATGTACCAGGGCTGTTCTTGAGAAATCCAGAGACGATGACTGCCCAAGCATGGCTCCCCAACAGCGACTTGTGTTTGAGAAGGAAGGCTCCAGTTGCTGGAGCTCACAGCAGGGTTGCAGAGGCTGTATCACTGCCAGGGGTCTCATGCTGCAGGGCTACCTGATGTTCAGGGCTCCCACTGAGAGCTCAGTTGGGGACAACATGGACTGGGTTAAACAGGGAACTTCCAGTGGCCTCTCCAAACCCGGCACCTCCAAAGCACAGTTTTTACTAAGCTTTTTTTTCTTCCCTAATGATGTGTATCGATTACAGAGATTTGGATTTTTGTTTCCATGAAGTAGGAAAAAAAAAAACGCATTGTTCCCACAAGCAAGCTTGGGCTTAAATGTTTCAGATGGCTCCAGTGTAACATGCTGAACAAAACCAGATCTATTCTCAAGCTGCTGGAGAATAACTAATTCTCCCATCCTCATGTTCCCCTACCAATACTGGAAGACCCACCTTGTATCCCATCAGAGGTCAGGAACAAAAATAAGTGAGGTGGCGCACCAACTCCACAAGCTATAGATTCCAGCACTTTCTACATCATCACATAAAAGAAAAATATCAACGTGAATGATGAGAAAAACGCTACCTTTAAAAACATGCTTTGAGGATCAATGATACTACATAGGTAGGAAACAAGGACAGCAGGGAAAGCAGCAGGGTACAACTCAAGTGTGTGAACAGAGTCAGTGGAAGCCGTCAAAAACCCTGCTGTGATGTACCCTGAGGTCCCACCCTTGCCTGCATGTGTACAGGGACCTGGAAGACCCTGGCTCAGGAGACACAACCTTACCTCATGGTGTACAGGAGAGTGCCATTGTCCACCAGGCGCAGCAGCTTGTTGGGTGTTGTCATGTTATGGGCGACAGATTTCTTCCCATTGTGGAAGAAGGTATCAGGAGTCCAGATCTTACTGGCCAGCAGGTTGTTTAGGGGAAGTATTTTCATGGGACCATCAAACTTCAGCCTTTCATCTCTCCAGGATTGTCGGAAAAAGACATCAATAGTGTATTCCTTTGCAGAGAAAGGAGAAAAAAATAAGGTCTTGTTTTACTCAGCTCTTCATTGCAAACAAGCTGCTTCAAGAAATGGTAAATATCTTCGGTTGTTGAGCATACTGTATTTTGGCACACCTTGGCTGACTGAAACATGGTGCAACAAGAAGTAGGCATTAATGGCAGTGGAGAAATGTGTGGAGGATAGAGGGCATTTACACATTTTGTATAATTACTTACATAGGATGCCAAAATTTGTGTTTCAGTGCTTCTGACCGTTGCAGACAAGCTGCAGTACAGCCTACAGTGGCCAGTCCTGGGGTAGCCCTGCTGCACCACCACCTTTATCCAGATGTTTCAGAGGAGGGAACCATTGTATGCAGCTACACAGGAATTTAAAAAGGCAAAAATAAAGTTCCTGGAGATGGAATTTGGCTAGGATACTGGTCATTATGCCCCTGCTCATAAAAAAAACCAAAACAAAACACCAAAACAAAACAAAAAACAAACCCACAAATAAATGAAGTTTCATGCCATTGTCTTAATGTAATTTTGTTCCCCAGGCCACCTCTAGAAAAGCATTGAAGGACTTCACAAACTTGCATTACAAGACCCTATGACTTTGTTTTCTTTTTCTTCTTTTTCCTATTTATACCCGGATTTTCTTTTTTTTTTTTTTAAATTTTCTTCTTTTTCCTTCTTTCAGCTAGTGTAGAAACCCATGTCCTAGACCAAATTCCATCTGAGGCCATTAGAACTCATCTCTTTGAAACCCTACAGCCAGGGCCAGCTCCTCACTCAGTGAAGGCAGCCTCAGAAATCACTTGACCAAGAAGCAAAGGTGCTACAGCTCCACGGCCACCCTAAGGCAACATGAAACCAATCTGCCCAGTGCCTGGCACAAGGGATTGCTGTTCCCTGTAACCTGAGCCCCCCTGTATCCTCTGAGGGTCCATCTCACTTGAGGGAAAGTCTTCAGCCTGTCAGCATGAGCTGCACTGCTGCTAACCTCTACAACACACACCTCCTCTTGCTAATGAAGGATCTCATTATCTCATGAGGCTTTCAGAGAGATGGGGGCTTCAGAAAAATCTGTCTGTCCCAGCTGTTCTTTCCCCGCCATGGAAGACTCATAGTCTTTATTTACGGGTTCCTGGAGGCTGCAGGACCAACTAAACTTATCATTGTGAGTGATTTCTTTCCTGCAGCTCTTCTCAGCAGCATTTAAAAGCTGCCACGCATCAGTTTCCTGTAGGTCTTAGAAATTTCTACAGGTTTTGCAGCAGATGGCAGCTGACTTGGTAAAGAAATCTTAGTAAAGAAACTCATCCCTGCTCCCTGGCCACAGAGCCACTCCTGCTCAAATGTGAAGTTTCTGGTCTGTCTGGGGGAAAGAAAGAGAAGAACCTACATTCCCACAGGCTTTGCCCTGTACAAGATACTCTGCCCCTTCATGGGAGCGATCTTCACTTTGTGCCTTGAAGATCACTAAAGGGAGAAACCCAAAGGAATGAGCCTGTGTGCAGTCCCAAGAGGTAGGTTTGGGAAAAGTCCTTATCAGGAGAAGAGCTATTAAAAAAAAAAAAAAAAAAGAAAAAAAAAGCAGAACTTTTATAGCAACTTCCCAAGCCCTGTTTTTCTTCTTTTATGCTAAGAATAATTCCTGAAGAGAAATCATATTCATCATCTTCTCCTCTTTTCTATACTTCTTTCCATGAGGTCATAATTCCCAAATCACTCCTTCCAAGGAGCACACTTACTTCTGTGTTTTGTTCTTCTCCACCTTATAGAAGTGATCAAAACCATCAAGACTGAATCTGTCTCCAGAGTCCACCCACCAAAACATAAAACTCCCTTGAGCTTTTTTTTTTTTTTTTTCCAACTTCCTGGGGACTGAGGCAAAGCTTCAAGAACTCACTGCTGAAGACTGGGGTGTATGTCAGGTCCTATCAGGCTCTACTTCCCAAACCAAACTGAAAGAGAGATTAGAAGTCCCTTGAAGCATCTCAGGGAAAAGGTCTACACATCCTCCTCCAGGCTTCATAACCAGCTGCTCTCCTCCACTCTCCACAGCAGCTTTACCTGTCTCTCCTCCATCATCATAATTACAGTCTCTGTCTGCATCAAGACGCACAGGAGAGGCTTTCCACTGCAATGAGTAATGGCTGTGGGAGGGACAGGAGCAAGACCACCAGGCAGATGTGAGCAGGGAAGGAGGGACTTCCCCACTCCCGAGATGAAAGGAAATTACCTCGGAAGAGCAGGCTCTCCCCACGCTTCCCAAGGAGATAGAGTTTCTCCCTCTCACACGTCTGAGTGCATTCAGCACCAGAACGCCATGCTAAAACACATTCGCTATGCATTTGTAAAGTACACGGAACTAAAGCACACGAAAGGAAAATAATTTATTATTCTTTAACTGTCTTCCTAATTTTAAATTCATTTTGTCAAATCACATTTTAGAGAATACCTTCCTCTTTTCAATACCTCATATTTCTTCTTCACAGTTCATTATACACACTCCCTTAATCAAATATGCTCCACCTTGGAAGTAATTATCAGATACTCCCCAAGGGCTAAGATCGCTGAATACATTATGGATCTCTGCTGCAGTAGGAAAGCAAGTGAGATAGAGAGAGAACTCAGATGTGATTAATACTCTTGGCTAATGCTGACATCAAGTTAACTTCTAACCCTGGAGTGAGAGGTCCTTCCAAAGCCTGACGGGGCTAGCACCTCAGTGAAACACAGAGATTTTGTTCTCCTCCACTTGCTAGCACAGGACTGTCAGTGGGGAAGCTGAAGAAATGTTCATGGCCAAGTCAGCACAGAAAATGAAACCATCCCAGCTCTGGAAAGGCCATGAGAGAGACAGGAGATTGCTCCTGCCTGACCCAGCTGGTGAGAGCAATGTCTGCTCCCTCTCCTTCCGAGGCCAGGACTGCCCATCGCTGGCCTGGGCTATGCCAGCACCAGGTCACCTCTGGGACTGGATGCGCAGAAGGGTCTCCATCCCGAATGTATGGCTGTCCTCATGTGGCACCCTTGCAATGTTAAGTAACCATCAACAGCCAACTCTTCTCTGTGCGCCTGGGTGCGTGTGGAATACAAGCTGCAAGAAATGCAGTTGAGAAAGCTCACTATTAATTATGCTCCACAGCCCTGTTTTAATTAGAAGACAAACTGTTGTGGGAATACATGCCTAAATTCAGACCTCAGGCCTTTTCATTAATAATTTTCCCTGAACATGTCAAAATATTGCCACTCATTTTTCTTTCTCCTCTCTTCTGGTTCAAGCACTACGGACAGTTTGATGGTGAACTGTTCTCTTCTGGCATTGCCACCAAAACAGGTCAGATTCTGGCATCTTCTCCATTTTCCAGAGGAAGTACTCTCCTTCCTCCATCCTCAGGTCAAGGAAAGCTGGCTACAGTGAAGGTACAGGTCTTGGTCCCATGGGCAGACCTCCCCATTTCATTAGGTTGCTCCTGCAGGAAAGAGAAGACCCTAAAGCCTGCAGCATGCTTGAGCAGTGCAAAGGCATTGACCCTCCAAGGCTGCATTATCAATTGGTTTCTAAAGCCCAAATGCACCTGAGAAACAATCCCTGTCTACCACCCGCACTGAGCTCCCCCTGGCCTGAGAGAAGATGAAGAGGCACACTTGTACCTGGGCAGAAAGCTGGGATGCTTGCTTGTGATCTTGTAATTTAGGAAAATCCCGCTTTTGCCCAGGTTGTTGGGGAAATAAGGGTGGGACACGTCTGCTGGGGCTGCAGAAACCATCCCTCCCTGTGAGGCAACCAGCCAGTGGCACCTACCATATCTGTGTCCGAGACAGGGCCAAAACTCGTCACGTAAATGTCTGTCTTCACTTCAGTTACGCTGTCTAGGACAAAAAAAAAAAAAAAAAGGAAAAAGCAATTAGAGAAGTGAATTAGTTTGTACAGGGAAGGGTTTGGGTTTTGTTACATGGTGGTTTTTCCTGCCAGGTGCCTCCCTGGCAAGCCCAAGCCCTCAGCAAGTCGGCATCATGCTCCCTGCTGTGCCCTGAACAACAGTTGGCTTTATCACTCTCAACTGGGCAAATTCATCTCTGGTGTAGCTCTGCTGCTTTCCACACTTACACCAAGGATGAATACATCCCACACAGCCAAACAATGAGTATTTACAAAATATATGTGGCTACACAATACATAACATGGTACAGATCCACGTTTTCAATACAGAGGTAAGCCCTGCTGCTTTGAAACTCCTTTTAATCTGAAATCCCTTTGTGTCTCCCAGCCTGATAAACAGCCTAGCAATCTTCCCCAGTTTTAGGAAACCCAGGGTTTGTTACAGCTTCAGGCTTATCTGTATGTAAAAAGAATCAATATTCTGATTGCCTTTTACTGTCATCATGTTTGCTGTTCTCCTAAGTGCCTGGCTCCTGGCGAGCTGCTGCTTGACTGCATCACATGTTCCCCTGCATCCCAGGCTGCATCGCCCTCATGGATGATAAGCAGCAGCCCCACTGCCCCAGCAAAACCACACAAAACTGCCACGGTTCCTGCCCCAGGCACTAAAACCCAGGCTCAGTCTTAACCGCCTGCCTTCAGATAAACTGAAGTGCTTTTCGGTCACACAGCCACCAGCACATATGCCAAACAGCACATACAGCTCTCATTCTTGATTCATTATGATTTTGGTGTGTTTCCTAATTGAAATTTCTGCTGCTGTCCCATTTTGTAGGGAAATCAAGGCACAGTGATTTGTGAGATTCACGGTCCTATGCTCTGCCCACTGTGTTGTACTGAAAAATATGATGGATGAGATGCCTTCAGTTTAGCACTACGTTACTGTAAGTCCTCACTACTTTAGGGGTAGATCATGGCATTGTGGTCTTTTGGATGGCATTAACTGGTTCAGAGTTGCAGAGTTGCTTTCCCAATGAAAGAAACTTTTTTTTTTTTTTTTGGCCACTGCAGCAGCTTTGCAAGTAGCCTGGATTGCCCATTGCTCAACTCAGTTATGGAAATCCTTCTGTCCCCTGACAGTTATTTTACAGAGCTATGAAGCTTAGTTTTGTGCTTCAAAGTTTTGTATCCAAAAATAAGATAATGCATTCTGGCAGGGTTTTCTCCTTAATGGCTAAAATATACGTATACATGTCTTCAGTTATTATGGCTGGAAAGCTTCTGACGCAGCCTGTGGCTGATATTATTGTGCTATATAAGTAACCCTTGATCTCGTCTTGATGCAATAAAAAGAAGGTTAAAGAGACATATGTATGCAGTACACTTTCTGAAACACCCAGAAGCCAAGAAGACATCGTCCTAAACAAAATGAGTTACTTCTGTAAGACTTTAACACTCGGGGTATTCTCTCTGTCTCCCTCCAAACAAGTACCCAGCTGAGATAGATACACATTTAGTGAAGAACATTTAGTGAAGCAAGGCTCTTTCTGCTCACACATGTGGCGAGAGAAAGCTAATTATGTTTTAGAGAAAACACAAACTCTCTCCCCTCCTCCCTTCTTGGCATTGAGTTTGCCCAAGATAAAAATTTACAACCATGATTATCAGATCAGGATCCACGCTGACTGTGGCCAGAGAAGCCAGTCCTTGGGAGGCGCAGAATGAGTTGAACCCCGAGGGTGCAGAGGGACCACAGTCCATGAAAGGACCTGTGCTTTACAGTGTGATCCAAGCACGACAGAAGGCATTCAGGAAGCAATGAGGAAGGTAAAAAGGCAGAACTAGTTTTGGACACCTTTTGATATGATCCTGCTATCTTTACATGAGCCTTTACGTCTTTATCATGCTGTGACCTGGCTGTCACAGAACTCCAGAAACACCTTCCCACACCTTCAATCTACTGGCAAATACAAAGGTAATGGCATCAATGAACACAATTAATAATTAAACAATATTAATAATTAATTACAGCTCGGGTCTGAAGAGGATCCCCCATTTCCAGACTGCTCTGGACCAGATCATGCGAAACTGCTGAGCTCAGTGGGAACCCTTTGTGCCTGCAAGGCAGCACCCGGTGCAGGGACGAGCTGGGGGGGCTGGCTCTGTCGCTGGCTTACTAATGTTCCCCAGCACTTATAAAAATGGGCTCCCTGCATCTTTCATGGCAAAAGCCAGACTGAACTTTCTCTGTTAATATGTGCTCCTAAGGGCAGGATTTGGCTGGGATCCGGAGGGATTTCTGAAATTAAATCATTGCTACACATGCAGGGATTTCAGCAGAGCTGAGAAATCCAGAGATAAGTAAAACACCAGCAGAACAGCATGAGCTCCAGCCTCAGGGATTCGCTTCCTTCATGATCCTACAGCCCAAGAGCATCCGCACTGCTTGTGGCTCTGCCCAAGCTGATCAGCTCTGTGTTGAGATCTCCTCCAGAGCAATTAGGAGCTACTCAGACAGCCTCCCCGCTCCTTACCCTCACACTTACCCACCCTGAGCCTGAACAAGAAGAAACTGCATCTACTTTTGCAGCAAGTGAAAGCTGAGAGAGGAGCATCTGCCTCCGCCCAGAGACATGGCAGGGAAATCCTTATCTCCTTTTCAATCCAACACGCTCACACTGCAGCTTGGCTGTCTTGCCCAGTTCTCACCAGAGATTTAATTATTAAGAACTGTACTGTAGAGTGTTAGGCACTTTCCCTAGAGCTGTTGCAGAACATTATATGGCATTTTTCCTTTCCTAACATCATCCTTCCCTATGACTCAAGTTTTTTACATGCACAAATGAGTTGAGCCTTCAAGCCTGCTGGGGTGGCAGGCGGATGCAGCCAGTCCTGGTTTATAGTTGGGGAAACCAAAAAGGAGAGACTTGGTTCAGGTAGGAAGCTGAAGTGGCACAAGGACCAGAGCCCAGCTCCGGCTGCCCTGGGGAACTAAGCCCAGCACAGGGTGGGTCTTGCTCTTGGCAAGCCACACAAGCAGCCTCCAGCCACATTGCTGAGCCTCAGTGTGCCCCAAGCTGCTGCTACCTGGGGAGCAGGAAAGAAAAAAACGACCCTGAAGCAGTCACGAAACTAGAAGAGCAAGAGATTTTCATCTTCAGTGTTTGACATGGGCAGAATTTAGAGACCTGAGCGGCATGCTATGTTCCCAAGACATTTGTTTGATGCTGAATCCCTTGTCTGGGGGCTGTTCCCATTTATCAGCTCAGCTTATTCCCAAGCTTCAGCACAACTGTGATTCTAAAACCGTCTGGAGCAAGTGTGTGACAGGAGCAAGGTGCTGCAAGTCGATCAGAACTGCCCCTTCTCCCACCAGGTACAAAGACTGGTCCCTGCCCACCCAGGCAATGCTGACTTGCTCCTGCCTGCAGAAATCCCCCACAGCTGGGCAGATCTGCAATGCAAATGTAAAACAAAAGCTGTAACATCCCTTCCCACAGTGTTACCATGGTACTCCCTACACCTGCCTGCTCTTTAAAAGCTACCCCGCTCCTTCTCTAAGAATTGGCTACACCAGCTCTTCCTGCTTGTGCAGGCAACAAACGTTCCTATCAGCGATGTGTGGAGGGCTGGATCCTGCCACCCCAAGCCCCCCATCGCAGGGCTGGCTGCTTCCCTTGCGCACGCTGAAGGTGTAGAGCAGCAGCGGCTGCTGCTGAGGTGCTTCAGGGTTTCCATTTCACTCTGCCTCCTCTGTTCCCCCCTCCGAGTGTGCATGGCACATCTTCCTGGCCCTGGCTCAGGGCAGACATCCCCCCCTTCCCACAATCTCCCTTTTCAGTGCTCATGACTCCCTGGGCCTGTGAGGAGATAGCTATTATTTACAAAATGACGGAGTGCTATTTTTACTTGCTTCTTGGAAGCACTAGGAGCAGTAGCAGAGCTGGAATACAAATTACGCTGCCTCGCTGCCTCTCCCCTCGGCGACTGTAGATTGTAGGGCTGCCTCTACAAGTGATTATGGGAGGCGGGGGGCACGGGGGGCTGAGGAGGCTCTTATTAAACATCCCGCTGCACTCATCAAGTGCTGTTTATTTAAGAATCTCAGCCGTAATATAATCGACTCGGCTGGTTGTGTTTCAGCTCTTGAGGTTTGCGGATGTGCTGAACACAGTCACATTTCCCGGGCGGGGGTTCCCAGAGGCTATGCCGCAAGCTAGTAGAAATGATGTGCCTGCATCCAAGCGCTGGAGGCTCCCAAACGATGTACACGATTAAAACAGGGGAGAAGGCACTGCAGCTTTGTGCTGGGGATTCCTGGCTGCCGCGCTGACGTCACCGAGGCTGCACAGCCTTATCTCGGAGATAAACTGGGTGAGCGAAGGGATGGGGACCTCCATGAGGCTGTGCTCCAGCTCTGCCCCAGGGCTGTGTTGGGACCTTAAGGAGCTCAGAGATGACAAGCCTGTCTGTACTGGTGTTTCTGTGCGTGATGGCATGGAGGAGACTAGAAAGGAGGACAGTGCTGTTCAGGCTCTACTGCACCCAGGAGTACAAACCCTCAATACCACCTACTATACCACTCCTAGGAATATATGTTTCTGCACCGGGCTCTCTATAAAATGCTCTGGACTCCAGACAACCCAATATCCCATCTCCAACTGTGGTCATAACCCACAAAGTGCAGTAACAAGCTGATAAAGCCCCTTAACATCCTCCTAGACTGCAACCACATTTAGCTTCAGCTCACAGAATCACAGAATCATTCAGGTTGGGAAAGCCCCTCGGGATCATCGAATCCAACCATCAGCCCGACTCTACAAAGTTCTCCCCTACCCCACATCCCCCACAGCTCATCCAAACGGCCCTTAAACACACCCAGGGATGGGGACTCCACCCCTCCCTGGGCAGCCTGTTCCACTCTCCAATCACTCTTTCTGGGAAACATTTTCTCCTCATGTCCGGTCTGACCCTCCCCTGTTGCAGTTTC